CATGTGGCGCGGCAGGCCGTGGGCGGCGGTTCGTCGGTGCTGGGTGCCCGCCGGAGCCTCTGTGTGCGGGCAGGGCCTGGCGCTTCTCGGGCGGAGCGGAGCGGGCGCTGCGTTTGGGGTCTGTTTCGACGCATGGGGGTTGTGGCTAATAAAAACCAGCGCTCTCAGCGCTGAGGACGGGAGACTGGTTTCTTTCAGTCAGGTCTCTGGTAATGCAGACTGTGGTAGAGCTCCCTGGGGTTGGGGGGGGGAGGTGATCGAGGCTCTAAAACAACGTTAAATGCTGACATGAAACGTGAGGAAAGCGTGGCTGCGGAAAGGGTGGGCGCTTGTGTATCTTTTGCCTGTGCAGAGTAAAGCCCTTTGGCGGTGAACTGTGTAGAAATACGTGTAAGCTGTAGTGGCAGAAGCGTGTCCTAAAAAGAGCAGCACTGTTGAATCAGTACTTCTTGGTTCTTTTGTCTAGGTAGGTGGAAGAAACATTGGAGGAACACATGCTAGAAGTGTCGGTCTTCTTGGTGCCTTTGTTTGTTTCTACTGACCATTTTGACTGCATTCAGTTGTTGGGCTTGATTTGTTTGGTTTTGGTGGGCATACTGAATATGGCAGTTGATATTATCAAGGAGCTGGCAGTTCTCTGCGTGCTTCACTTAAAATAAGTCCTAGCTGCTAGTACTAAAGTAACTGATACCTTTGTGCAGCTTGGTATGTTGCTGGATCAACTGGCTGAGACTGCAGCAAGATGGAGAGATGGGAGCAAAGGCTGGAATGTTTAACTGTATGTGCGAAAGGCTTGGCTGGTTTGCTGAAAGACCAGCAGAACCACACTGTATCAGTCAGGAAACTGCTGAAATTGGAACGTGTCCTGGAAATAGCCACGTATGCCACTAACTTTGTTAGCGCTCCTGGGCTGATTCTGAATTTTTGCCAAAGATTTGGAGCAGAGCATAGAAATCTTCTACAGCAGCTAGGTCCGTACTGAAAGTAGAGAGAAAGTGTTGAAGGGTGGGTTTTTTTGTTTGTTTGTTTTTTAAGTAAAGCACAAAATCAATGTTTTCCACAAATAACAAATCAAAGTATATTCCTGAGTACTAGTATGCATTGTGGCTCTGCCATTTAGACTTCTGGTATGTTAATGGCCATTTATATTACTTGACATGCTTTTTTTAAGGAAAAGAACTTTTTCCCCTGGTAACGCTAATGTGAAAGCTTTACTGAAGCTTTTCTTCAGTATTCAGAAGGCTGGGTTTTCTAGTTTTTCATTTTGTAGAATCAAACTGACAATTGAGTGACAACTCATTTTTCATTTTCTGCATAATCAAACAAAAAAAATGCTTTGAACCTTTGAAGAATACTCTAGACAGAAACTCTTGCTCAGAAAAAGTGAGATGTACTTTTCACACTGAATTTCTAAACTGACTTAACTTCAAGCATTGCTTCTGTGGTCTTTTATTGCAATTTAATTAGAACAAATTTCAAAGAAAATTGTGGCAAAACTACACTCCCTTCCCATGTGAATAGGTTATAAATGCTTGAAAACAAAAAAGTGTAGTATTTGAGAGTATCTGTACTTACACAGAAATACTTTTAATAAAAAATCAAGAGGTGAAGTTACAGTGTTGTTGATAAATATCGTGCATTTTGTGCATCAGTATGTTTTGCTGCCAGGTAGACTGTAAAGAGCTAAGCACAGTCATGCTGATCAAGACATAGAAAAGTTAGTGTTTTCTGCAGTTCATGTACGGTGACTAACATGGGGCAAGATCTTCAATATGTGTAAAATAAGTAGCATCCAGTTCCTACCAAATGATATTTTAGTAAATTCTGCAAGGAAAAAATAATTCTGGTTTTTGTTGAACTGGTATGATACCACAGGCAGAGGCTTAAGTGTTACCTGTAATAGACCGAGTGAGCTACTTTGTCAGTTTTGATCCAGCAAAAAGAATCTTGCCATTTTAAGATCCTAGGAAGTGAGGAGGGAATTAAATGGAAATTGAGTTAAAAGAGAAAGATTTTTCTTTTCTGAAAGACAGGTAAACATCTTCAACCTAGAAAATGTTGGGCTGCCAAGAGAACTTCATAGTATTTGCCTTCCCAAATTTCAATCTAGCTATTTATGCAAGGAGATGCTTAGAGAAAATAAAAGAAATGAAATAAGGATATAAAATTGAAGTGTGTGGAAACCCTTGTGAGGATGTGCTCTTCCAAGAATAATGTAGCCACTATTATAGTTTCGTTCTCTGTAGTCCAAGAGGTGCCCTTGGTTGTTAGTACTCTGGGCATACCAGGCTTGCAGAGAGAGCAGCTGTGTGAGGAAGCCGAGGCATGCCTGTAAGAGTCGCAGCAGCAACATGTGCATTATTCCTCTGACAGTTATAATTCTGTTGCCACGGAGATAATGACTTATCCCATGTCATTATTGATCTATCAACAGTAAGAGCAATTTTGCAGTCTGATATTGTTTAGCAAATTGAGTAGCATCTGCTGAACACTTAAAACTGCTATACATGTTAGGTTTAGGAGAACATTTCCATTTACTGGGTTAACTACAAGTACCTGAATTTATAATAATTCACTGTAACCTTGTGAAACAAGTGGCCTGTGAGGTAATATTAAGGTTAATAGAATGCTTTTTAATAAAATATTTAGTATGATCAAGGTACAGAAATGCTTTTTGAATTATGAAATAACAATACTTCTTGCTGGTAAGATTTGGAACAGTGACCCCATGTACACTGTTGTTATAGAGAAATAATTATTTCCTGTCTGGTCGAATCTTCCATCAGTCTAAGTGAAGCCTCTTGTATTTTCCAGGTAATGATTTAAATCTGCCATTCAGAAGAAATACTAATGGGACTCCTGACATTTTGCTGATCTTCCTGTTAGAAGAATTATTATCATCTCGTTCTGAAATCAGTGATAAAAGTACCAATATTCAAACTGCTGTGCTTAAATATTCAAGGTTAGAGTCTCAAGTTAGATTACTTCCAGTCATTTTGCTGCTGAACAGAATTACTAGTTGTGAATTGGCGATTTGAGGTTCTTATACAGTTCACAGGAGGAGTTAGACAGGAGAAGCAGCAGGAAAAAAATGGCTAAATTAGATGACGAAAAAGGTTGGAAAAAAGGTCTTATTTCACCTTGTCAGAACGGGACACCTTTCTGCCCAAGTCAGTTATCTCCATGTTGTCCTGACTTGTGATAGTGCCCTGAAGTCTCCTATGTACCGTAACCACGGAGCTCTGCTTAGACGCTTTTATTTCCTCTTGAAGCTTTTCAGGAAGATTGAGCTCCTGCTGTTCTGCATGCCTGGGGAATAATTTGGACATACTGTTAGGGCAATGTCTGGCAGCACTGACGTATCCTTTGTTTTGAGAGCATTGAGAGTTCTTGAAGTGTACGTAACAGTTTTGGATTGCACTGTTACAACTTGTGTGGATGCCTAAAATGTGAACGCTGAAAAAACAGCTGTGAAAAGTTCCTGACCATTTTGAAGATGTGATAGTTTGAAAAAGTTGTGTGTCAAGCAGCAGAAATGTAGAGTTTTGAGAGTTTTATTGGTAGAAACTTGAGTCCAATGGAAAACTACGGATTTAGATTTAGAATCTAAACAGTATCTACTTTGCAAGTTTATTTCTGTTCTAGGTGGGTAATGAATTCATGGACTTATAGCATATTCCCAAAAATAAAATAAACATAGGTTGAAAATAAAGCAGAGTTCATGTCATAATTGATAGAGGCAAAGAACATGTATGAAATCAGCTAGGTCAATTTAACTGATGGGCAGTTTACGTGATCTAAGCCACTTTTTTGACTTAGATGATGTAAGGAATGCCTTTGGCAGAAAGAAGTCATGCTCGTCATCAAAGGAAAAATGTTTGAACCCAACACTTAACAAATTGAATGGAACGTGATATTCAAACTTGAATGCAGACCTCTGAGCTAGACGTTCTTTAGACTTGAAGCTTGACGCTTAGTGACGCTGACCTCTATATATGCTTCTTAGTTATAACGCTTGGTGTCGTGAACCATGGCACTGTCCTGAAGCTGTGTGAGCAAGGACCGTGTAGTATGATCTTTGAAATGGATGAGTAGATTAAATCTTTTGGATGATCAAGCTTCTCACAACTATTTGGCATAACCAAAGTCTTTTAGACTTATTTGCAGATGGCGGTGCTTGAGTCTTTCTGCATTGTAGATGAAGTATAGTTTTATATACCTCTAATTTATAAGTAGAGTAGAGCTGCAGAACATGACCTCTTGTAAGAGCACCTGCTGTATCTCTGGGCCTCTTTGCAGCTAGGAGTTGTGGATGCTAAGATCTTAAACGGGCACAAAAAAGATAGGGCAAATTTGAGAAAGTAAAATCTGTTGATCTGCTAAATGCAAAGATACCATTATTACGTTGAGCCTTGAGCCACAGACAGCTAGAGTTTGGGATTGTAACTGCGCGCGTGTCCTATTCCTTGTTTTCTGTGCATTCACTTTTGATTAGTGTTGGAGAGCAGGATCCTGGACTTTAAGCTTTTGGCCTTAGTTGGTTTCACAATTCTTACAAATTGTAATTTACTTGCAAACGCTGGAGGTGTTTGCTGGTTTTTCATGAATCCTAGGAAAACCCCAGGGCACTGTCTGCCTACAAGACAGATTCCTGTGCCCTAGTTAAGGTATACCAGCAAATTCTGGATATAGCTACAGTGACAGGAGCGCTTTTGCTGTCTTAGCTTGACATTAACAATGTTTAGTTGCTGTGAGGTGAGAAAAGCTGATTAGTGTGTACTTAATCTCCACGAGGGGGCTCTGATAGCTCAGATATGGCAGCTGAAGATCTGCAAGTTTAAGACTTCTATGTTCTACTGAAATGGCAGTCTGTAGTAAGTGAATGGTTGTTATTTGCTGTTCCTCTGAGAGAAGTTAAATCTATTCTTGTTCAGCACTTCTGAATACCCTTCTCTGCCATGTAAAGCTTAAAGAGTAAGAATTTATAGCAAGATATTTTTATCTCATTTTGAGACATGCATCGCATCATCTCTTACAAAAACTTGCTTGAGCAGCAGGGCTGTATGATAATCTCTCTGACAGAGGAGAGACTGCCAAGCATGTGGTATCACACATTAGTTTTTACTTGAAGAAATCTCATATACAATTGAATCTCCTGAGTTTTGCACACATCCACCTATCTGTGAAGTGAATGGAATTGTTGTGGAGAACCTTAATCATGATCTTTGTTTTTTATCATAACATTTCTAAACTTTGTGCTATAGTATTTGAATAAAGATTTGAGTTTTTTCATCTCACACCATTCAGTCTTTCAGTTCTTTCCAAGAATGTATGTACACATTTTAACATACTTAAGTTTTCATAACTTTCTTTTCAAAAGGAGTTATAGTCTAACCTATGCTATAAGCCTAAATCACATGAGTTGCTATTTCTTAATCTTTGCTTGACAAATCTGTATTAATCCCGGGCAGCCTGGGAGCTTTTCTTTAAAACAGGATTTTTTTTTGTTGTTTTCAGGATAGAATTATATTGGATATAAATAAGCTGTTATTTCTGTTAAAATGTTGAGGGTAAGTCTCAGTTATATACCACATGCTTGTGGTAGTGCAGAGGTGACATTTTAAAGCACAGATGAGGTGGGGCTTAAAAGAGAACTGAACTAAAATTAATCATTTGCAATTGGTGATGCTCATATTTCCACTGTGCTCCGCAGGATAACATGACCCTCATCTTACTTGTTTACAGCTTTTCATGTGGATTGAAGCCTGCTGTCAAGTTTTTATATCAATTTGAATTCTGTTGACTGAAACTTCCCATGGGAGTTGAATAATGTTTTATGTTCTGCTAACCTAAATTTGGGTAAGGTGGATGTAAAACATGATGCTTCTCAGAAGACAGTGTGGCTTGGAATTTGAGGGTTTGAAAGTTCACCTGTATGTGTGAACTCTGCCGGTCTTGGGCCTTGTCCCCTGCTTGCACTGCGTGATCACATTAGACTTTGGGTTTTAATCAGTATTGTTTTCTGATTTTGTGTATAGGCACAAAAACTTGTCTTGAGCGTTAAGAATTTCAACGAGTCTGAGCTTATCTAGACAACTAATTGTAAGAACAACCTGGAGAGGAGTAGGTATGTTAGCATACTTGCACTTAACGCTGTGTGGACTAAAAGTTCAAGAACAGAGTAAAATATCTCTTGTGGGAGATAGATAAAATACAAATTCTTTTAAAGTAAAACCAGAAATATCAATATGGAGGTAAAAGGGGGGGTTGTGGGGTTTTTTTGGTGTTCTAAATGGTCTTTCTCTCCTTTTTCTGGTAGTAAAACCTGTATCTCTTGAAAATCTTGACTGTGCTAAGGAACAAGAGAACTAATTGATAAAGCATTGCCAAATGCTCCATATAGATATTTTAATTATCTTAATTGTGTGTTTTGTTTTGCCTGCAGTGTCTTGCAGCTCATAGCTGCATGATGCAAGTGTACAGGTTTGTCTGGTGGCTGTTAAGCGTGCATTTGTAGGGAGTAAGCATTCCTTTCACAGGATAGGTAGCTTCTCCACAAATACCCACATATGTATTTTCCATAAACTTGCGTAAAAATGTAATTGCTTGGAAACTCTCTCAAAGCTTTATGCCTACCTTTCACTTAACTTTTTGCAATATAGTCATCCAAGTTCCAATGTTGCAGTGGCCTAAGCTCTTCTAAGGTTTGTAGTAGCCACCTGCTCTCGCTGTCAGTGGCAGCTGAGATTGCTAAGCAACCTCCTTGAACGGAGCTAGCGCCTTGCAGGATGAAGATCTTGTAAGATGTGTGACACTCAGTTGTAGTACTTGTTGCACTTGTGTACAAAAGGCTGTTTTATGAGCAGTTTGACTTCATTTAAAAAGCTTATACTTCTTGTCCCATGAACAAAAAAGTCTGGAAAAAAGCTCTGAGTTTTAGAACAATCACTTTTCTTGTGACAGTAGGGTTTTGTACAGTAAAAGCAGATCTCTCTGAATTATCCTTGGACTCCCTTCCCCATTGGTGGATCTTTGGATCTTTCTGCAGCAGTTTGTTTTTGACTGTTGCTAGTCACGGGAGCCATGAGAAGACAAAATGCATCCTAGCAGCTGCTGTCCATTGTGGTACTTTAATTTGAGGCACTGTTGATCTGAGGAAATACTGCTCTGTAGTGCTTTCATGCTAGCTTACTGTGGTGAATGATTTAAGGTCCATGCACCAAACAAGGGGGAAGTTTAATGACTTCTCCTGCAGCTACAGACCTTTAAATATTAGTGCACAAGCGTCACGTGTTTCCCACCTCTTAAAAGGCTGGATACTAACAAATTAACTGCTTCATAAAGTTAGCATGTCTGGAAGCAGAGAGACTAGTAGAGAAGAAAGCGGAACTCCAGACTACTGAGCGTTAGGGAAATCAAAATAGCAAAACTGTGTTTATCACTGCATATAATGTTTAAGGATCCGGAGTGAAGGGAAGCAAGGGGAGCCAAATGTAGTCACTTTTGATTAATAATAGAAAGTTCAGGGAATGTTATATTTTAAAGGTAATTTTTTGCTATTTCTCCGAAGGACTCCAGGTGTTATTTAAGCCAGGTTGCCATCTGCTTCTGTAACTTAAACTGTATGGGAGCAAGGAAAAGAGCTAACACGCTGTAGTTGAACACAGGATGTTTGGCTTCAAGTCCTGCTTGAATTTCCAAAAGGCCTTGGCCTCTCACTGCTTTGTCTCCTGCTGATAACCTTCCGTTTTGTTGCAACTTCTTCTGCTTTTTTAAAGCAAAGTCAACATATTCCTTTCCTCGTTTGCTTTCTACCTTGATTAGATTGTTGCTGCGTCAGAATATTTAATCTCTTTTCTAGGTGCATTCAGACTCCCTGGCATACTGTGTCTGGCAACACTTGGGGCCTCTGGGTGCTACCATAATACAGTCATTAAACTTTTTTTGGTCAGCAGAGTGTACAAAGCATGAAGTCCAACTGAGACTTCTTCAGCTGCGGTCCGTAAAGATAAGAAAACACTGCTTATATACAGAAATATATAAATCTAATGCATATTGCTCATACCTTCCTTTAAAAATGTGCATATTAATTTTTC